TGTTAGGCAGACTGTAAAGATAAAAGAAATAGAATTTGGTTTACCAAAACCCATAAATCTGTAGTTCCAAAAAGTAAGGCTTTGCCATTCTTATCGCAAGCTTTCAGAAAAAACGTTTGGTATTACACAATCGTGGCTTGCAAAAAAACAAAAAAAAACTTCATCGCAAGATAAAGGAAAAATTGGAAAGAAAAAACGCAAGGCCAAAGTAATAACAAAGAAGAAAAATGAATACAAAAAAAGCATTTGAAGAATGCTGCTGCTGTTTCAGCTCATTTGTATGAGGTGAAGGACGGTCTCATGATCGGAGGCCGGAAGACAACGTGGCAAAGACTGCATCCACGGCTTCGGGATGCCCAAGCAGCGCGTGCCGGTTCACTGGATGGAAAAGCAAAAATAAAAATAAAAAAATATACAGGGATGCGATGGGAGGGCACAAAAAGAACGATCCCGATAGAATCAAAAACGAGAAACAACCGAAGCAAACACTTGGACCATCAGTTTGTATGGAAATACAGAAAAAACATGAGAGCAAGAAATAGACATTAGCGCTGCAGCAAACTAAATGCGATCATGCCCGCTTGCCCTTTCAGAGTTTATATATAAAACGAATAAATCATAATAATTTTTTCCCTCCACAAATTTTCCCCACCAAAATCCACATCACCCTTAACAGAAAACAATTCCCCTCTGGCACTCTTGTTCCCAAGAATTCGCGCTCGTGGGAAAGCCCGCTACCCATCACGCGTGTCGTTGGGAAGTTCCTTTGTCGTAGGGGAATGTCGAAGTGCGTGTCCGTTTTGTGTTTTCTTTGGGTGTTCATTTTCTTTTATTTCACAACTCCCAATTCTCAAACCCAATGCTTTTTGTATTGTTTTGGTTTTCTCCATTTATCTTTTTTTTTATTGTTTGCTGGGGGTCTGATCCGCCAGGCCGACACCCCGCACAGCGAGGCCAACAATAAAGAGCGACACTGTGAAGGAGAATGGGATCCATTCCCCTCACTCTTTGAACAATTCATGTTGAAATCATCATGGCATCACCCTTTTGAAATTCCACTGAGGAAAGAGAACAACGGCCATCACCCACACACCCCATTTATTAATTGCACCCAAAAAAAAAAAAGAGAGTGAGGAAGCCAAACAACATCCAACACCAAAAGAGGAATAAATAAAACCAACGGGGGAGCCAAATCCCCAACAATTCCTCATCTTTTCTTCGTAATTTCCATTGGAATTCCAAAGGATTCAAGGTGCAATGACGGCGTACCAAGTAAAAGTATACCTAATGTAATTTACCTTCTTCTTTGCCGGGCCCATAAAGCGCAAGAAAAAACAAAAAGAGAAACAGAAAATATTTTTATTAGTTTTCCCCTTGTTTCAAGAGAGAGCCTCCCTTGGGAAGCGGCAAGTGGCAGAATAGTTTAAAACACTTTCCCGCCACGCAGAGTGAGAATATCTGTTGTGTTTTGATAATTTCCCCCTCCCATCATGCACAAAAATGTTAACATTAACAAAGGGTCTCCTGGTGAGGTCTACCATCTCCCCTCCTTTCCCCTTCAGGCACTAGAGAAAACCACCGCAAGAGAGGCGACAGCGCAACAGACAACACACACTTTCGTCTTCGCATTGCCTCGATACTACTCCTCTCATCATCACCACTACCAGTCTGCAATAATATGGAAAAGATCAACAACACTGACTATTCACAAAAAGAGGAACATAAACTTTATTTTATTTTGCATCACACTCTGCGCACTAGAAAACACAACTCAAGTGAAAAATACAAAGTGCACCAAAGGAGTTGCACCACCGTAGAGCAGCATTGTTACTTCTATTTCAATGTGGAAAAGAATATGCCCACACACACCGTAGAGTGGACACAACGTTAAATGGGTTAGGGCATTACCCTCTAGTCCCACGAAGGGGAAAAGAGAGCAATAGTTGTATGTCTGGATCCGTGCCCATCCGTTTGTAGAGAGATGGGAAAAGAAAAAAAACGCAAACCCTCAACAGGCTTTAGGGGCTCGCTATTCTTCTTTGCTAAAATGATGGAAATGCTCCTTCTTTTTGGAGTGAAAGTTTCTTTCACGCAGACACACCCATCCCAAAAGGGAATTACGCAAACATTGGGTGATCTTCTTTACCACTACGACCCATCGGTTGGCAGAAGAGGCATTATGAAATAGAAAAGGACCTCTTGATTCAAGGGGTCTCAATCTGTGCACATTGTGTGGGTCCCCAAATGGCCCCTACACGGTCGCCAAAAGATTTCTCCAGGCCATTCCTAAGCAATTCGCCAGACAAATATCACCTCTACTTGTTTGCATAAATACAAAACATTCCCCACTCACCCTTTCCTCAGAGATGAGTGTCATGGGGTCCAGTAGTCAAGAATAAGATTTATCATATTTTTTTTTTTCTATGCAGAACTCTTTCCCAGAGTCTTCCATGTCAATAGCTGCGGTGGGTAGGCTCTTTTCAATTCCACACCGAATCCTTCAACACACAGAGAGAGAGACCCACCCCATTATTTTCATTGAAATCCATAATGTTTATGCTTTCAAAATAATAATGGAATAAGTCGATCAGTTTAACTACCACTGTGAGAATATAGTCCCACTCGGTAACACTCTCTCTTGACTGTGACGTACAATATTCACCCTGGTCGACACACACCCCACAGTGTTGTTTGCATTGCTAGAGGTGGATCAACATTCATTAACTTTAGGTCCTCTCTAGGCATGGCTTCATCATGTATATGTTCTTTAACAGTGACATCAATCTTCTCACTAATCAAACGAAACTCCATTCTCTCTTTTACTTCTACTCCTTTTTCTCTCACTGCATTTTTTGATTTTCTGTTGATTGCAGTGTCACTTCTGCAACAACAAATCACAATGAAAGGTAAAAAAAGAGCAGAGAGACAAAACAAACGAGAGAGTGCAGTAACAGGCCTAAAATTGTTTAAACAAACCCTCACTGATTACCAACCAGCCTGGAACCACAATCTGCAAGAATACCACAGACATCAGAAAGGCAAAACAAAATGTCCTTGCAAATCCCAATCGGATGAGCAATAGTGTACGAAATGAATTTATGGCTGCACATAGGCACAACACCTGTCAGGTGAATGAAACAAGGTGTCACACACACAACTGAGAAATTCAGTATCCCAATGAGGAGATAATGTGTGTGTATATATGTGTGGGAGGGAAGCAGAGTACCAACTGCAGTTCCATCAAAGACTCTTACATGCAAATGCACCAGAATAAATAAATATGTATATGTATATGGAAAGTTATTCTCCAATCCACTATACTTCTATTCCCTCTTCTTTAAATAACTGTCCCATTTCATCATTATTATTGTTCCACACCCCATTGGGGTGTCCAGTGTATTTCTTGTTCTGCTGCCGTTTGATTGCGATTCCCCAGTTCCAAATACTGTCCCCCACCACGGCGGTGTATACTCCCATTAGAATGAGCACAACTCAGCCTCACCATTTCCATAGCAAACCAGAAACAAATGCGCAGACAGAGGGCCCAATTGCCAACATCATATCAATGGAAACACAATCCATTCAGAGTGACATAATAAACACACTAACACATATTTACTGGCGTACAAGAGGTGACACAAATCACATCCCTCATATTCAATATCAATCCTTTGATCCACTCCAGTGCATTCACTTACACACCATCAAACACTCCCATTGTTGATAATAAAACAGACCATATTCCCCTTTACAGGCCGTTCTGTCTATTCAACTACAAATGAACTCGTAAAGGAGCACACACACTGCTGCACCATTACCATGTCTTACTCCTGTTCACTTTACTATTATCTGCCTAAAATAACAAGGAAATTATAGAGAAAGAGAGACACATACACATTACACACCCTTTTTTTTTGTTCCTTTTACACTCACTCTGATGCTCTCCCTTTCCCTCTTTCACACTCTGGGCTGAGCACAGCAAATGAGTTGACGTTAACCATGGAAGAGAATCCTACAGAATTACCCCCTCATCATATTCAGGGGCCAAAAAACAAAAAAAAAACATAATAGAACGGAAAGAAAAGTAGGCATATATATAGAGAGAGAATCAAATAAAGTAAATACAATAAGGAATATACTTCCCTAATTTTACTGTCACCATCTCTTTGATTTACATCCAAGTTAACTCACAAACAGGTGTGCCAAAAGGTTTCTCATTTTTCTTCAAGACGAGGAAAAGAAAGTTGGTGTTGGGTAACGATGATTGAAAAACAAAACGAAAATATAATAATAAAAACATATAAAAGAATACCATGTTGACGATTTCTCAATCCCCAAATAAAAAGAAAAAATGGAACTCAAATACCAAGTTCACTATTACACATCTACAAAAATAAAAATAATACTTCATGTTGTTTGGTGTATTCACATTTTCCCACTTTACCATCATTCTCAGTGTTTGACACTACTGTGATACCGATGTTTACACCATACAACAGTAATTAAAAAAAAAAAAAGATAAAATATATAATTTATTGTCATTTTTTCCTTTATTATTAGGTTCATATCCCAACCATTTGTGTCTCGTTTTTTTTCCTCTTTTGTGTCATTCAGGTGGCACTTCAGTGGAATATTTTATTTTTTCCTTTTTTCCCTTTCATTTTATCGGAATACAGAAAACAATATGATTGTGTGTGGAGTGTCAACTACTCCATGGCAATCAAAGTAAAGGTACAGAGAAAGGGAAAAAACATACGACAAAAAAAACGTTTCTATCTATTTATTGTTTTTTTTTCTCTTTTTATTTATACAATGTTTGGTTTACTCTCATCTCACAGAGTTCTCTTTCACTGAAGAGTGTTTTTGTTTTTGATGCATAATGACCTCCTACACACACTTTTTGATCTTCATATGAGCTCACTCCTTTGTGGTGGTATTTACACCATTGCAGAGGTCGTAAATTATTAACGATAGTACTGACTATTCTGCAAGCGTAATTACAACAGAAGATGTCAACACAGTTTACAAAGATATCAACATCAAATAATCACGTTTCTGCAGATGGTGCAATCCCAGTAGCTCATAATAAATAATACAAGCAACTCAAACACGATGCAAAACAAGATGCCATTGTTTGTCCATGCAATATTAGCATTCATTATTGTGTTGAAAAACTTTTCTCACGATCATTCTTTATTGTCATAATCGTTCCATTCAGCGTGTGATATTGTTCGTGTACTATTTTTTTTTTTTTCTCTCCACACCAATGACTCCAGTGAAGTCCGTTATTCTTCATTCCATTCATCACTGTTCCCTACCTCTCTTCACATTTGTTTTGCAGTTACAATCCTCCTCATAGCTGTTATCAATGTTATCTCCATATCACCATTTACAACAAGCAGTAGCGAAAGGATTCGTTTAATGTAGATTCTCATTCTAACATGACTCTCACCATTACCTGTGCCTGTAATGCACATACATATCCCTTGTTTTGACTCAATCAATGGCAAAGGTCTCCCAAAAAAAATACCGCACTCAGCTCCCTAATTCCTAGATGCCGTAATACATAGTAATATCAACTCACAGGAATGCACAACCAAGCCCTCTCATTGATAAATGTATTTTCTTCTATTTTTGCAGAGAACTCCACTCATGTCCATCAGACCACTCTCACACACAAAAAACACAATGGTGAATCATTCTTCTCAACACCATTCTTGTCAATACATTCATCGCCTCGCTTCTTTGGAGCGACGAACAGCAATGTTTTCATTCTCAAGGTGATTTCCGGTTGACGGAGGCAGTGGGGGAGGGACACATGATGCAATATAACGTTCAATTAATCTAAATTTCCTGGATTCTTCCGAGTCTTTCACCTTGAGATTATTTCCCTTTGGGTGCTCCTCGGAAATATCCTCCTGAGGTTCATTATTATCAACAACACTATTATCATTATTATTATTATTATTATTATTATCATCATCATTATTATCATCATCATCATCATTATTATCATCATCATTATTATCATTATTATCATCATTATTATTATTATCATAATCACTATCACCTTCTGAAGGAGCGGGATAAAAATATGGTGCACTTGTGTTGCGAAGAGGTGCGGGTGTCTCCCTCAAACTTTGTTCGCTTAACAAAGCGTCACCCGAAGACTGATGGTTGTTAAGAAAACTGAGATTAAAAACACTGTTGGTGCTAACATTATTTTGTACAGAAGCAACTGTATTTTCTCATGCCGCAGCATCAGAAGGTGAAAGGTAATCGTCGAAAGGTAATGACCCCAACCTGACAGACTGCTGCTGATCGATACAAACATCAGGAGACTCATCTGTACCATCAGGAGTTTTATCACCATCACCCTTATCATAATGGACAACATTCGTTTCACTGAGAGTTGAAAATGTGTCTGCTCTCGCAGAGTAGAGAGGGACAGGGGGCGTTGCTGAGTGGCACCCTTCAGTATACTCCTCATTGT